AACTCTAGTATATGCATAGAATTTGTGTTTTCGTAAGAAAAATAAAACCCTAACGCAAACTGAATAATAATAATAATAAGAGGTAGCTGTAACAACTGGTGTTAACAGTTGTGGAGCGCAATAACAGTTGATATTGCACTGTATCAGCTTTGCACAATTCCTAAATCTCTAAACCAAATTATCTTAAAAACAATTTTGTAATAAAATGTTTTTGCAAATATTTGATTTATCTAGTTTGTTTTTGAACTGACTTATTGATTCTGCTTCTATTATGTCACTCGGTAGATTATTCCATATGTTGACTATACGATTAGAGAAAAAATTTGATCTGATAGTATTCTTGCAGAATAGTTTTTTTAATTTGAATTTATGTTGCCTCAGATGGGGGCCTTCTTGTGACGTGGTATAATTGTAGTTTGAAACCAATTTTACTTTATCAAACCCATGTTGAATTTTATACTGTTGGATTAGATCGCCACGTATTCGCCGTTCTTCTAGAGTTATTAATTTCATAATATCTAATCTTTTCTCATATGGTATTTTTTCTAATGCCCCCAGCATTAGAAAAAATGGGGCTAACTGCATTATTAACAGACAATTAGAATTTTTTCTTCCAATATGCACAATCTTGCATTTGTCATAATTAAATTCTGCTTCCCAAGTAGATGACCATGCCATGATATTGTCTATGTCTAATTGAAGTTTTTTAGCATCACATGAATTGCTTATTATGTTAATAATTTTACTATCATCAGCATAAAGTTTCATGTTGTTATTCACATGATCCGGTAGATCATTTATGAATAACCGAAATAGTAACGGTCCAAGAACTGATCCTTGTGGTACACCGCTGATAACTGGTAACCAATTTGATACATGGTCCCCAAGAACTACTCTCTGTTTCCTATTGCTTAAGAACTCTTCTATCCAATTTAGATAGTTGCCTATAATCCCATATAATTTTAATTTATGGACTAAACGTGAATGTGGTACTTTATCAAATGCTTTAGCAAAATCCAGATAAAGCATATCTATAGAACAATTATTTTCTAAAGCATCTGTGAGGATATCTAAGGCTTCCAATAAGTTAGTTAAGCAGCTTTTATTTTTTCTAAATCCGTGTTGATTTTCATTTAGTAAACTATTCGTCAATAAATAATTCATCATTTCATCTCTAATGATTGATTCTAACAATTTACATGGTATTGATGTTAGTGAAATCGGTCGATAATTTGATTCATCACTTTTTTCTCCTTTTTTAAACAAAGGAGTGACATTTGCCAATTTCCATAACTCTGGTACTTTTTCTTCTTTTAGAGATTTTTTGAACATTAGTATTGTTCGCAAATGGTGCTATGACATTTGCTCATTACATATGGACTAATTCCATCTACACCAACAGATTTGTTGATATCTAATTGTTCTAATTTCTTTTCAAATGAGTCACAAGTGATCAGATTGTCTACATCTAATTGTATAGTCTTATTAATTTTAGTTGTAACAAGTGGAATATTATCTTTATTTTCATGAACAAAAACAGAATTGAAACTTTTATTTAAGATATTTGCAATTGCTTCTCTATTTGTATGAAGATAGCCAAATTCATCGAAAATTGACGTTATGCCTGATTTAATTTTGTTGTTTGCATTCCCATACTCATTGAAAACTTTAGGATTGTATTTTGACTTTTCAATAATCTTCTTCTCGTATTCGATACGGTTACGCTAAACAATTTTTTCGACTAACTTGCACTGTTGTTAGTATTGTTTTGATAAATCTGATGACTTGAAATTATTCGATATTAATTTCTTCCATAAATTTGCTTTCTCTCTAATTTCTGTTTTTGTAAATTTGTCAATCCACGGTGTTAATTTCTTTTTAGTATTAATACGTTTTGGTATATATTTATTGGATAGCTCTTGATATTTTTTAACAAATATCTCATAACATCCATTGATATTTTTATTGTGGAACAGATTTGACCAATCAGTGTACTTGAACTCACCATTCATTCCATTAAAATTCCCTCTTCTAAAATTGAATGTTGATTTACCATATAATTTTTTTGTATTGATATGCGTTTGTAATTCATAATGCCAAAATAGTACGTGATGTGCTTTATCTATGTTACCTAATGGTGGATTATGATGTATCAATGAAATACGCTCTGGTGCACCTGTTAAAACTAAGTCTAGTGTACTGCCTTCTGATGACGATGCAGTTAAATTAAATGTACGGTTTATTACATTTTGATGTAAATAAACATCATTTATGCTATCCAAAAATTTTATTGCTGATGCATCATTATTTGCTACTGTCTGAACGTTTTCATCACTCCATTTTATATTCAGGTAATTGAAATCACCAGCTATCATAATACCTGAAAATTTCTTACTGTCGACATAAGTTTTGGCTTTGTTCAGGATGGTATTAATTTTTTGATTTAGTGCTTCTGATGCGTCTGGTGGATGATATATGCAGCCAATTAATATGCTTTCATTTTCAATTTTAATAACGCACCACACTTGTTCAACCGATGTATCATTGAGAACTATTTCCTTTGGAGCATAGGCAACGCAATTATTTTTTACATAGATAGCTACCCCACCACCACGACATTTACTTGAATTTGTACTGCACCGATTACTATTAAAAATATTATAATCCTCCACATGTATTAAGCTTGAGGGCATAAACCACATTTCACTTATCATAAATACATCAGGATTGTATGTGGCTATTTCCAATAAAAAAAGTTCAAATTTGTTATTGAGCGAGGTTGCATTCGTGTACCTGCACTTGAGGTGACATTTTAACAATGCTGTAGAATTTTCATTCAATATCACTAAATTATTTGATAAACCATCATTTCTATGTCGATCTAAATCTAAATTACAAACATTTGAAACACCAACTTTCCTATTATGTACATCTTTTATCATTAAACTATCAGATAGAAGGCCGTCTTCATTAGTATTTAGAATTGAATTAGATACAGGATTATATGTTGAAAGGACAGCCATTACTGCAGGTTGATGCAAATTAAATGATGATTGCTATTGCTTTAGTTTTTTTTATGAGTTTCACAATTTTAAAATTTCTTATAGTGTAGTAGTATTCATCGTTTTGATTTAGGCTAGCATTTTACAATTTAACTTCACTACGTAGCTGTTTAAAGAGATCTCTTTCTGATTCTGTCATATCTGAGTTAAAATATATTTCGTTTATCTTGTTTCTGTTAATGTATGCAGCTCTTAATACACTTATTTTGTCTGACACATTGTCTAACTCAACGATAACTGGTGGTATTTTTGATGTGTCTCTTGTTTTGAGTCGGATGACTCAAAACAAGAGACACATTTTTTTATTTTGTTCTCGCCTGCATTTATTGAGTCAAAAATATCGTTTACCATATCTTCATCATCTTCAACATCTTCATCAAATTTTTTCTTGTCAATATTATCATGATTTGCTAATTTAACACCAAAAATAATAATATTATTTTTTCTTTTATTGCGTTCTTTTTCCTCATGGAGAACCGTGTTTATAATATCATTTTGACTTTGATTGTTTTAACTTTTCTTTTTACGACTTCACTCCAATTATTTAAATCTTTTGATTTAATCTTGGTCTAATTTATTTTCTAATTTATTCACCCTTCCTTCAAGATTTTTTATCAAAACATCTTTCTCATCTATTTTTTTCTCTAATTGCTTGATTTTTTCTTGCATTTCTTGTAGTAACATATTTATGTCTGAATTTTTTGGTGGCATTTTAAGAGTGAAACTAAACCAAATCAACTCTCATCAATACACCAACTTCAATTTCTTTGATAAGAGGGCTACCACCCTAAAACAGTGGGTTACCTCTGGGTTGTGAACTTTTTTCCTAATTACACAGGGATTAAAAAGTTTCAGTATGTGTTTTTTTCTGTTTTTATATATCTTTTTCTGAAGGCATAAAAATATATATAAAACTTGGCACAATTACTTTTTATAGCATTATGCAACTTTTCTGGTCTATTACAATTTCAAATTCAAAAAAAGTTGTTTTTTGATATACCCTACTAGTGACATTTGGTTTGAATTGGTGAAAGAATTACCTTTATCTACTGAAATATACAACAACAACCAAGCTTGCGAAAATAATTGAAAAACCAAAACTAAAAGGTGAATTAGTAACAGTAAGTGAATTAGTAACATAAGTGGGCAAAACACTTGCTCAACAAATTATTATGTAATTAAAAGTTTCAAGTTTCAAGGGTTTTCTGATGAAATAGTTTGCCATTGACCATTAAATATGCTCCAAGTTTTTCTATAAAAAGTTGTTTTTTTAAAATTTAAGAATCTGGTGATCACTTTTTTGTTTATGTAATGATCGTTACACAAACAAATTTCTTTGAACATTATTAGAGATCGGTATAGTTTCCTCAGTAATTTAACAATGTTTGGTACCTAAATAATCTCCTTAGGTCATTTTTTAAGTATAAAGGAATTTATATGTGAATGCAAATAAAACTTGTAGCACTAAACTTAATAATTTTGTTAATGATGAACATTAGGCTAAACATTATAATGCCACACACCCTAAACAAATAAAACTTAGCAAAAATCTTAATCCCATGTTGTACACAACATACGCTACATTAGATCTAGTGTTTTCTGATAATTTCATAAGATTTATCAAATAAATTGACTAAAGCTCAAGCAAGTAATTTTGCAACCTGTTTAGTAGATGGAACTGGAAACTCTAGTAACTTCAAGTAGTATCATATGTAATAAAAGTTATAATAATAATAATAACAACAATAACAATAATTAGGTAAATTATTTTTTTACCATTATCATTTTAAATATAATATTCTGAGTAAAAATATTTAGCTGATTTCAATTAATTTGTTATTGTTTGAAAAAGTTCATAATTTTTTTGATTATTTTAAATATAAAAAAAATAAAAAAGCATGTTCAATTCAAACATAATAATTTCAAAAATAAATTTACCAGGTTTTTTAACTAGTGCTGTGCGACTTCTTACTGTTCCAAAAGAGTTTGAAAGAAGGCAAACATATGCACCATACTTCTCTACTTGTATATGAGTAAAATTTGTAAACTTTGACACAATTTCTGTTTCATACATCCACTGATAAGAAACTGCCACTGGATGTTGGTTTGCAACACAACTAAGATTAGATGATGAGTTTGGTGATGAGTTAAAGAACCATGTGTCTTGAGGCTCCTCAGCAAATGATGGAGGAGGGACAACTTAAACAAAAAAAAATTCTAATACATGTGTTTTAAATCATTCATTTTTATTTTTATTTTTAAAATTTTTCATTTTTCAATACTTTTTTTTTATACATTAATCATTTTTGTATATATTCATACTCATTAGATTACCAAAAAATGCAGATAGTTTCAAGCTGATACTCATATACAGGATAAGCAGATGAAGATAATTAATTTTCATAGTAATTTCATTACTTAAAATCGCAAATAATTAGTTAGTCCTAATTTAATTTTAGTTTTGTCTCTCCATTTTTTTTAGATTTATTTTTTTATTTTTTTGTTACTACATCCTACTTAATATAGTAAATTTAAAACAAATCACATCATAATTGTCAACATTGCCGAAAATGTATTCAAAGAAACCGTAGATTTCCCTAATTCCGAGAAACCCCAGATTTAGTTTCCTTATAATAACGTCTAAATTTTGTTATATTCAAAGGAAAATTGATAAATTAATTGGAAGACAAGACTAAAGAGAATATGATAAAAAATATTTTTATAAAATATAATGAAACCATAACATTTTTTATTTTTTCTTTATTTTATTGCCAGTAAATTAATTTTTAAAGCCCTGAAAAACAATGTAATAAAATCGACTTTAATAAAAATCAAATTAAATTGCACGCTGCTCGATGTAGAACTTTACGGTGGTTTCTTATAGAGTTGTCACGGATAGTGATTTTGCCAAATACCGTATATTCAGTTAGGCGCTCGGCCGAAGCACCGAATATTTGGCGATACTCTGATGTTTCCGACCTGCTTTATTGAAGTGCATATGTTAGCTACGCTGTAGGCGTTTTTGTTTGTATTATGACTAGTTTGCGTCACAGCACGCATTATTTGTTGAATGTTATATCAAACTGATTTAACTATGGTTATGTAAAAAAGTATCATACTCGTCGAGTCATTCAGAACAAATACAAAAATAACCAGCTCAGGTATATCCTCTATTTCTAAAGGAAATTTCAAAATTTGTTATACGATAGAATAAGCAAAAAAAAGTCAAAACTTATTTAAAGTAATATCTTCACAACAACCTGATCTTAAAGAATAGTTCAACTTTAATGGAAATGTCAATTATACAGTTGACTTTTTTATTGATGCACTTTCTAAAAGTAAATTTCAAGGGATCAGTTAAAGCACAACAAGCAATAAAAAGAAGATTTAAATGTTCTGAGAAAGAATAAGTCAGTGAAAGGCTTATCCTTCTCATTAAAAGGCTGCTTAAAACCGATGAACCATCGCGTGTGACTAATACCACCAGTGATGGTTTAGCTCCACTTCGTAAGAAAAAGAAATGTAAATAAAAACGATCAAATCATTATCTACAAAAAATATGCACACATATAAAGATGTGGGAAAGCAAAGAAAAAAGACATTAAAAAAAAAGCTGTTTGTTTAAATTTTCACAATTGTAAAAAAGTAGCCGAATAAGCTGAATGCCGAATACCCGAGTAAAGTAGTCATCAAATATTCCTGACATCTCTAATCTTAAATATAAATTTGTCAATTCTGATTGATTGCTTGATTGTTTGTTCCCAGTTGGCAGCCGGACCGATGGTCCTGGAGACTTGAGGTTTTGCGTGAATGGTCCCCGTGGCTTAGGGAGTGACGTGGGTTGTGTCGGGTTGGCCTCGGATGTCGCTGGTGGCTGTCCGGGATCGCGGGGGTTTTCAATTGGTCATTTCTGAGTCGGGAGTCTGATAGAGAGTTCCTTGAGACGTGCAGAGTTGTTCCTCGCCCCTGGAGGTGGGGGTGCGGATAATCTCGGGTGTGACCTCGAAGTCCCTGGAGGTCGGAATGGTTTGGAGGACGGGTTGAGCGTTTCTCATGATGTGATTTTTATCGGTTTCTGACGTGTTCCATGGATTGCTGTTTTGTCGTTTTCCAGAGTTTTCTGGAATGTTCCACGTATTTCCGGAGTGGGCTAGAATTTTCCGTAGTGGTCCAGAGTTTTCCAGAATGTTCCATACTGCACAATGTTCCATTACCTTCCAGAGCATTTGGGAGCTTTCCAGAGTGTTCCATGGTGTTCTTTGTCTGGAGCCTTCCATGGAGATGTAGGTGGATCACCGGAGATCGTACATAGCTCAGTTTTTACCGGGTTACTGAGGTGAACACATCATTTGCGGGGTTACAGTTCTGGGAGTCAGTTCGGGGGGTCGGTTTGCTTTTTGAACGTTGCTGCGGGGAACAGGTGGGGGAATATTGTTTTTTGGTGGTAACGAACTCATTTTTGGCTCTTTTATTTTGTAGTGGTCAACTTGGTACAGTGGCATTGTTCTCTTCAAATGAGTATTGTGAATGAATATATATAAAATTATGTGTGTATGCCCAGCTAGCAGACATTACCTTAGCCAACGTCGGAACAACGTCGGAAGCGTTAGGCAATTTTTTAATTTACGCGCTAACGTCGATCCAATGTCCGGCCAACGCACAGTGGAAAATAGTACTACAAAATCGTACCATAAATGTTTTTTGTTCAAATTTCAATTTCCCTACTGAAATTTCATATATATATATTTTTATTGTTTAATAGTCAATCTTTACTATAATGTAGAAACTCTACATAATTTTTTTGTAAAAAAATCATTTTTGAAGCCCTACCGTTTCATATTTTTGAAAATTTTCAATTTAAACTAATTTGCTTCACAACTTTAAAAGTTATTTTCTATAAAACTTTTCATGAATAAGTATAAAGTATTATATATTTTTGAAAGCATCATGTTATGGAGATCTTAGAACAAATTTATTTTTTGAATTATATGGTTTTGTTTACAAATAATTAATTGAACTGAAAAGTAAGAAAGAAAAAAAAATCTTAAAATTTACTGTTAATTTTGGCAGTCACCAACGCTTCCCGACGCTTTATTTTTATAATTGATTAGTAGTTTAGAAGTCTATAAAAATGATTTATTAAAAATCAGGTGCGGGTACGTGCGGTTTATAAAGTTATAGATAAAAAAGTAGTGAAAGTCAGAAAAAAAACATCCGCTTTTTATCGTGGTTTTAGACTATAAGTTTATAACAAAAGTTTTTTTGTTTAATTTTTATTTAGAATTAGTTTTGATGGACATACATTCAATTATTTTTGCATTTTGTAGTGAAAACTTTATCAGCAATTTGTGAACACTGCGTCATTTAAAAAATATTTTATAAAGAGTTGAAATATTTTTATAACTGCAACAAATTCACAGTGGAAATTAAATGCTTTTTAAATTGACAGCTAAGTGTTCGAAACGTCAACTGTTACTTTCCTATATTGATGAAGTAAGAACAACTGAGACACTATTTTCATATATAACTTTAAAAGAAATTTATCAAGTTTCTCAGGATAGCTTGTGTTTCATTGTTAGTGATATTCAAAGGAACATTATTCCGTCGTTTAATAAACGATTGATCTAGGCCTCACGGAAAGTGGACACTTTTTTATCTAACAACAGTAATTGGTTAGATTTGGAATATAGTGTATTTTTTACGAAAATCGAAAAATGCAATAACAGACCCCACGCCATCTACATCATTTGAAAAACGTGGAAGACCGTGCATTTCATGGAGATTTGTCAGAGATCAGTAAAAAAGAAAAAATTCCACATTAGTTAAGGAATTTGGATTCGAGCATATCTTTAATGCATATCTTCAGGCATTACGTTCAATAGGAGAAGAAACAGAAGCAAAGATTGTGGAAGCATTAAGGATTGGCGAAAAAGAAAAAAGGTCTCTGTCTCGAGTTTTATGGAAAACACAAACGTTTTACTGATAGATGAAGAAGCACTCAGTGTGTTTGTTGATTTAGATTTAACTAAAGCACAATATTTATACTTGAGGAAGTTGACAGACGATTATTCCCTATTCCCATCATATTACAAGTTGCTGGAAATTAAACAAACTTACTATCCACCATCTTCTGCAATAGAAATTACGAACACACATGCAAAATTTATGGAACTGCAAGATTTATTGGATCACACTGTAGATAGAATTATGACTATAGATTCCGTATACAATAATAAATTTAAACAATTAATTTTGTATAGTAACTGGAGTTGTGATGGTTTCTCTGGCCAAAGCGAGTACAAGCAGAAACTTCCGATGGAATCTGAACTTATTTCTGATGCGAATTTATTTTTGTTCTTTTTAGTACCGATCAAATTAGTTGATGAAGTAACTGGCATAGTTGTTTGGCAAAATCCGGCTCCTTCGTCTGTACGTTTTTGTCGACCTATATGCATAGAATTTTGCAAAGAGACTCCTAAGAAAACTAAAATTGTTGTAAATGAAATAAAAAGCCAAATATACTCTTTACAGCCATCTATAACTAACAAAAGTTGTCAGGTATTAACGGATACAAGCTCTCTCCTCAGGTTTTATGATAAATGCTGAAAGTTTCGAGACATATGCTATAGAAACTGCCCCCATTTATGTGAGTAATTATAGCTGGTAGTTTATGCCGTCTTCAGTACACAAAATTTTACTTCATGGAGAAAATATCATAAAACATTTTGCAGTACTGCCTATCGGGCAACTTTCAGAAGATGCGCAAGAATCCCGTAATAAAGATTATAAAAAATTTCACCTTCATCATGCCAGGAAATGTTCTAGATTAGCTACAAATGAGGAGGTATTTTATTCTCTTCTGTACACTTCCAATCCCTACATCACCAGCATTAGAAAACCGTACAGCTAAAATGTCCAAGAACTCGATGAAAATACTTTGTAGCTTTTGAAAGTCGACTTGTAATTTATTCCATAAAAACTCACTGTAAAAAAGTTGTTGTTAATAAACTATTTTAAATATTGCTATAATAAGCATTTTATAAACTCTTGAAAATCTATGTCATGTAATCATGTAAATGTTTAAATATATGCAATTTATTAAAAAATCAAATTAATAAAGCAATTAAATCTAATATAAGTAAAATTTTTGTTTAAAATATTTAAAAGTACGTTTGTTTTTTTTTTTGTCTAGAGATTAGTCAAAAGCTCTTATAAATGTTTTTTTATTATAGAAATTTAGTATTAATATATTTTCTAAATAAATAAGCATTTTTTTGTCGTTTCTAATACATTTAAAGTTTTTAAATAAAATTAAAAAGAACATGTTAAATTAAAAGTTAAAAAAAAAAGAAAATTGTGAGGTTTTTGATTTTTATTTAAAAGTTTTATATTAATTTCTTTTTTTTTAAATTATTTCCTATATTAATAAGGAGAGCTGCTTGTTTAAATTTATCCTGTTGCATATTATCAAAATTAGGACCATTCTTACTTATACCAACTCTCTTAGCAGCTGCTACAATATTGGCAGCGGATGCCCAATTGCTCCACATTGTTCCTAGAATATTCATGAAT